TATATATATATAGTGTAAAAAAGAGGCAGAGAGGCTGCTGTCTCACATGCTGCGCTGCCTGCAGGAAGGTGCAGCACCAGAGGAGACCCCAGAAGGCAAGGGCGACGATGTCTCCAAGGCCGCCCAACCCACAACAGCAGAAGCAGCACCAGCACGAACACAAACACTGGGAGAGAGGGACGCAGGCGCAGCAACCGCTGCTGCTGCACCACCCGCTGCTGCATCCCAAAGGAGTTCAGACAACGGAGCAGCAGCAGCTGCTGCTGCTGCAGGAGCTGCTGTTGTTGGGGCTGTTTGTACGTGTGAGCCAGAAGAAAGTGGACCTCAATCGCTTTTGCCTGTCCATACACATAAAGCACCTGCCTGTACACCAGAAGCTTCAGACTCCCTGGCAGCTGCTCTCCGCGCAGTTGCTGCAATAAATGCGGGGGTTTCACCAGTAAGTTTGCTGACCCAAGTATGCAGAGAAGAAAACAAAGACGGGGCGCCTCTGCGCTTTTTTAGGGCCCCCAAACCCCAGGGAGGTGGCGGCGACGTGCTTCCAGAGGACCCCCACGAAAGGCTCCTTGGGGAGGATGCAAGCGATGCTGCAGGAGCTGCCCGCATCTGCAGGGGTCCAGCAGAATCAGCTGTGTTTGCTGCTGCTTATCAGCGGATTGTGGAGCAGCGGCTGCTGCTGCAGGAGCAAGAAGCTGCATATAGGGAGCTGCAGCAAGACACCCTTGCCCGTCTGGGTATTCGAACGCTGCACAACGCAGAGCAGCAAATAGACGCTTCCACCAGTAGCATCTACAGCAGCAGCAGCCTCTTCAACAGCAGCAGTAGCAACACCACCAGCAGCAGCAGTTTAGAAAAGAAGGTCCCCGCTGAACCGGCTGAGGAAGCAATCAAGAAAATGCTGCCTCTATTGCGCTCGCACCGAACTACAACCATTTTCGTCCCCTCCCCTCACCTTTGCAAGCTTTGGGGGGTGCCAGATCCCTGGGCAAATATTTCAGTAGGCAACAATAGCTGCTGCTGCTGCTGCTATTGCTGCTGCTGCTTCTGCTGCTGTTACTGGTGGGGCTGTCTGTGCTGCTTCAAAACGCAAAATCATAACCGTGCGCAGCAGCAGCAGACGCGCCTACTACTACTACTGCCTGCCGCTGCTGCTGCTGCTGTGACATCATTTGTAATATTTTTCTGTCGTGGCATTTAGCAGTTAGATGAACTTGCTATTCGTTTCCCTCTTTGTTTGTTGTAGGTCTGTGTATGGGCTTGTTTATATATTTATTTATGTTTGCTTGCTCCATTTGGCTGTCTCTTTATTTTCTTAGTTGTACATTTCCTCGTGTTCGTGTCTTTTACCGATGGACTTGTTTCTGGTGCAGCAAGTGGAGATGCTGCGTCTGTTGCGGGAACAGCAGCCATCTACAGCAGACGGTGTATCGCCACCATCTGCTGCGACTTCGATTTCTACTTCTGCTGCAGCAGCTGCTACTGCTGGGCCTTCTCCTGTCTGTACACCTGAGGTGAAGACGCCTCCAGTGCAGGTGTTGCACTTGGCAGACAACGCTGCTGCAACGGAAGATGCAGAGGGAGCAGCAGATGAAGAAGAGGACCTCATGGTTGCTATGCTGCAACAAACCAAAGAAGACTCTTCAGGAATCTTTCAGGTGCCCTGCAACACCAAGTGTGCTCCTGACCTCGATATTTGATTTACACTGCTACTGGTGCTGCTGCTGCTACTGCAGCCCTTGTTCTGGCCCGCTTTGCCTCTGCTTGAGGTGCTTCTCGGTGTTTCTCGTCGGTTCATCCTCTCCCGCCGGCTTAAAAGGCCCTTGCTGCAAGTGCTGCAGTATTGCCCAACCCCTAAACACTCATAGTGGAGCTCTGCGTGCGTTGCTACGTCTCAGGCAATTTTTGATGCTGAGGAGAGCGAAGCGGAGACACCCCTATAAACGCAGACAAGTATATTAAACCCCCAATGCCCCAAACCTTAAATCCTCAACGAACCCCCCCTTTTGCGGGGGTCCGTCCAGTTGTTTTTCAAGTGCTTTACTTTGTTCAATTTATGTAATTGTCCTTTTTCTCTTTCGTGGGAAAAAGGAGAAAAAAACATACAAACTCTTGGGCCCCGAATTAGGGCTGCTGGCAGCGCATGCATTCACCAGCGGAGCACTAGTCTAGTTGACTGCCTTTCCGTCTATGACCTTCTTAGCAACTAATTAATTGAACAATAATAGTTATATTTGCCATCCCCTTGAAGGCATGTATTTGGTCATAAGCTGGGGACGGGCAACTTGACGAATTGCAGTGTAAATGCAATTAACTTTTGCAGTTAGCTGCATGCAAATCCTGGTGTATTTGTCATATTTGGGACTCACCGAGTGTACCCTGTGGGGCTGGGCAGACTCTATTTGCCGTCTTTGCCATTACATTCGTATATTTCAGTGGGGGGAATAGACAAAAACTGCAGTAGGAATGATACGGAGGAGGACAAGAAGAAGAATAATGATTAACTAACACTGTCTGTAACTCTGTTTCATTATAATTATGCAGTGTAGAGCGTATACGATAGATTCTACACATGTACTACGTATTGCGTATATCGCGCCTGTATCTTACTATGTTAAGTCAATGTTATATTTATGTAACATTTACATACAGATCTGCTACGTTTATCTTTATGTTTACATAAATACGTATGCGTTCTACCTATATTTACGTTTGGATTTGTATGTATATTTGTGTATCTTTACATTAATTCTTCAAGAATCCAGCCCGTGCGGCACGCACGGGGTGGCGGGAGGAGAACGGTGTAACGTAGCCAAACAAAAGGCAATTAAGCTGATTGAATACACTTTATTGCATTTTGTGAAATAAAAGATAGCAAAAAATATAAATAATGCGAAGAAGAGATGTGCTCGACAGGAAAATTATGCGGCGCTCGGCTAGAGGCCGAAGGCGGCACAGCGATATGAGCGGTGGGTGTATCTTCGGTATCCACTGAAAATGCTCAAGAAAGACTATTATAAGAAAATAATAGAAACACTAATAAAACTAATCATTGTGGTTATTGTTTTGTTATTGGATATTGCTAATATTTTGCTTTTTCCACCGGCTCAAACCGAAGGCAGTGAGCTGACGTGCTGAGGTGTGGGGCTGATACTGCATGCTGCGGTGAAGCGTGCAGTGTATAGACACTAACGGGCTTTTGTTTCTCCTTCCGAGGAAAAATAATTGTTTATTTTTATTTTATTCCCGCAGGTGGTGTTCATTGTCGCCCAAGAGCAGCGACGAGCTGGTACTGCTGCTGCTGCTGCTGCAGTGAACAGCACACACACTTCCGCGTTGCTTGCTGCTGTTGTTTTCTTCAACGACAGCAAACAAGCTTTCCTTCTTATTTGATTCCTTGTGCTACGATCAACATCCTCTCCTCTGTCTCGGTACGTTGTCCTTCTGGGGTTGGGGTTTTGTGTTGAGAGAGTGGGCTTGAGGGTTTAGGATGTACATCTACTAACACCGCAACCCCTTGCCCCTGTAATTGTGGAAGATGTTGCAGCCCAGCCATAAATATAGAAGCCCACTGCATATCAGTGTTATTGCATTTAGCTCAAGCGATTGTAGAGGCCAGAAGGTGGAGCAGCTGCAACAGCAGCCGGAGCAGCAGTGTTTGCGACAAATTGCTGCACCAGCCTGTTGTAGCTCGTAACGCTGCATGCATACATACCTCCTCTTTTCTGTTTGATGTGATTAATTACTGCAGATATTTGCAGCATATCTGCTGCTTTGAACAGGACTTGGGGCTTTATTTGCATGCACAGCATCGCCTGCAATGGAAACCACGGCACCAAAGGGGGCCTCTGCCCCCGTCTCAAAGCTGAACGCGGCTGCCGCTTCTGCAACAAACAACAACAGCAGCGGCAACAGCAGCAGCAATGGCAACAGCGGCAACAACAACAAAAATAATAATAAAAGATTTGGCCGCGGGGATAACCGGTCTGGCTTCGCCTATTCTTCTACTGTGCCTCCTCTTGAAGTGTCAAAAGAAGAAAAGGAAGCCTTTACGGAAGAATGGAAAGAACTGCAACAAGACAACATTTCTTCTGCCGATTATTATTTTAATTCTTATGCTCATTTCAGTATACATGAGGAAATGATCAAGGACTCTGTCCGCACAAGTGAGCAATACAATACACCATAATACACTCAATTTGCTTTTTTTTCTTCCTGCAGCAGCGTGCAGCGCTCTGTAATAGTAATAACAGCAGTAGAAGTATAATAATAGCAATGATAATAATGAGTCAGTCGGACTAACGTTAAACATAATAGCAGCAATTGCCACAATAATACTAATACATGAAAAAGTTGAATACGTAAGAATGAATAATTTACGCAGAAGATACTATGGTGGGCAGAAGGGAGTAGAAGAAGGGGAGTAAAGAATAGAGTGGAGAATTGTGTTGCGTGTTGGGTTTGTTTTTTGCGGTGTACGTACACCCAGGCAGTTACCAGCGAGCAATAGCAGATAATGCGCATTTATTTCGTGACAAGATTGTATTGGATGTAGGGAGTGGTACAGGGATTTTATCTTTATTTGCTGCTAAGGCAGGAGCAGCACATGTATATGGCATAGAGTGTTCGGAGATAATTCAAATAGCAAGACAAGTAGCAGCAGCTAATAACTTGCAAGATAAAGTTACTTTTATTGAGGGGAAAGCGGAAGATGTACAACTTCCTGTCCCTAAGGTCGATATTATTGTCTCCGAATGGATGGGATACTTCCTACTCTATGAGAGCATGCTAGACACCGTCATCTACTGCAGAGACAAATGGCTAGCCGAAGGAGGCTCTCTCTTCCCTGATAAAGCCCGTCTCTTCTTAGCTGCCATTGAAGATGCCGATTATAAGGTAAATTACTCTTCTTCACCTCTTCACACAAATACACAAATCAATACTTCTTGTACAGAAAAGTCGCATGCAACCACGTCACTATATCCAGCGGCAGTTGCAGCGGGAGCATCTGCGACAATCTGTGGAGCAGCAGCTGGAGAAGTAGCACGGTTTGGCGCGTAGAACACGACGTCGTTTATATTTACGGTTTAGGGTTTAGATTCATCCGTGTATTTGTGTGCAGGAGGAGAAAGTAGGCTATTGGGACAGCGTATATGGTCTCGATTTCTCTTGTGTTAAGAACTGCATCATGGAGGAACCCATCGTAGACAGCGTAGACGAATCTGCTGTCGCCACAAATTCATGCTGTGTCCTGGTAAGTGCGAACTTAGGCAACAGCTGTTACTGTTGCTATTGTTGTTGCTGCTTGTGTTGGTGGTCCTGCTCATAAGCCGGGGCAGTGGCAGGAGTAGCCGTAGGCATGGTGGCAAGAGTAGCAGTAGATATAATGACAGTGGAGAGTTGAGCCTCAACAGAAGCCGCAACAACAACAACAGCAGCATTATGCGCGGGTGAGCGAGCTTTGGACCGGTAAGGACCTTTTGTGCTTTGGCGCTGCAGGAAATTGACTTGGCTACTTGCAGCCCTGAAGAGCTAAACTTTTGTTCTGCCTACAGCATACAACTGCGTCGCAAGGACTTCCTGCATGCATTTGTGAGTATTCTTGCTTTCTTTCTCTTCTTTCGTTCTATAGGCAGCTTGGCCATTGCTTGCCCTCTGTTGTACATCTTCTGCGTTATGCATTTAGTCTGTCGTTGGGTTGGGGTTTATGGTTGGGGTGTATCTAGGGTTTACGGTTGTAGGGCCGTTCGAGTTTGTATTCTGTTTAGGGTTTGGGGCTTTGCTGCATTTTAGGGTTTGTAGGGTTGCATTGTGTCTGGACTTTTGAAATGAGGGGCTGGATTGTTTAGTGCTTGGGACCTGTTTGTGCCTATCTAGGGTTTAGCCGCACGGTTTAGGGTTTAGAGGGGTTGGTACACACCGGTGTCTATTGGATCAAAATCTGTGTAGGTGTGCCATCTGTGTAGGTGTGCCGGGTTTTGTTGTTTCATGTAAGGCTTATTGTGTTTATTGTTGTGCTGCCGGCGTTATGCATTTAGGGTTTAGGGATTATGGTTTGTGTGTGGCGGTGCAGGTGGCATGGTTTGAAGTGGTGTTTAGCCAGTGCCACAAGCCGGTTGTTTTGAGTACTTCTCCTCACTGTCGTTACACCCATTGGAAGCAGACAGTGTTTTATATGCAGCATGTATTGGTAGGAGAGCCAGGAGATAGCGTAAAGGGTTTAATTGCTGTGCGCAAGAGTAAGAAAAACCCTAGAGACTTAGATATTAAGATTTCGTACGAGTTCCAGAATAGACACACGCATAAACCCATAAATAACACTCAGTTCTACAGATTAAGATAAAACAAAGACAAAGACTGCTTCCATCTATCCTTACATATCCACGCATGCATGCATCCATGCTATGCAAGTGCAGCAGGCATGAAGCTTAACGCTGCTCCTGCTGCTCCGACTCCTGCTGCTGCTGCTGCTGCCATTCGCATGACCGCAGCGCAGCACCAGCGGCAGCTGCAGCCAAGAGCCATTCAGGTACTCTAAGCGCAGGGACTCTGTGTATGCATGGGAATACATCTATGTTCATTTATATGTATACATATATATTTATATGCATGCATGTATATACTTATATATGCAGTGTGCCCTGTGGCAGTCCCCACACCTGCTGCAGCCTCTGCTGTCTGTGGAAACGCGATAAGGAGGGGGAAGAGGGAGAGGGAAGGCGATTAGGATTATTTGTTACCTGTGCAAATCACAAAGTGCTGCATTTACTGCCAGCAGCTCCTGTAGTAGCAGCTCGCTTCGCGTCTGTGGAGTATCTAGAGCGCAGCACCAAAGCAAGCAGGTTAACCCTCCCCCGATCGAAACTTCCAAGATTAATTATTTATTCATAAATTAAAGGCGAGTATAGCCAATATACCTCGTCAGTCCGCCAACATAGCAGTAGTGCTTATTCTAGTTTGTAACTGTTTGCAGTTAGAATTAATAATTGCAATTTTGGAGTTAATGCTCATTTTGGGCAAAGCAATGGTGGGGATAGTAGTTGTAGTTGACTACTTTGTTCGCAGTAGTATGAGTTGTGTTTGCAGTTAGCTGAATAGCAGCAATAGTAAATGGGGAATTGCGTGAGTAATGATAGTAAGAACAATCACGAGGGATGGCATAGTGGTTATGGTGACAATGCCAGTCCCGTTTATTGAGGCCAGGGAGGGACTACGGTGTCTTCACTGCCACTGGATTGTCTCAACCTTGAAAATTTATAATAGAAAAATAGAAAAAATGGTAGTAGTTATGATAATAATAATAAATCGAGCCTACAGCGACTGTTTTTGTGTTTTGTCATCTAGGTTATGAACATTCCAGCACCGCTGACGAAACAATATGTGTACTGATGCGTGTAGACTGTAAAATTGGGTAAAATGACTTAAAATAAATTACACTTCAATGAATAAAAAGTGTGTTATGCCGAGTAAATGGTAATTAAATAAAATGAGTTTAAATTATTGTAGGACATCTTTGTCTATTGCCTTACAGCGGTATCTGAAGAGACGCTCATGCTTGCACGTTCGAAGCGCTGCAGAGCTGCAATTGCGACAAAAAGAGCAATTTAAAATTAAGGAAGTAATCTTAAAAATGTTAATTTAGTTTATACATGTTTATTTAGTCCTATTTCAAGAGAGGGAGGGGGGGCAGTTGACGTTTTGTGTCGTGAATGGCTGGTGGCTGTAGTTGGCTGGGGTTTAAGGCGGCGCATGCAGCGCCTTCGAAGGCTTTTACGTTTTGCCTCTTTCTTTTGCCTTCAACAATAAATAAATAAAATAAAGGATGTTAACAGTAGAAGAAATGCATTTGATGCGTGTTCCTTCTTCTAGAAAGCCCTAGCCATCTCTGCCTGCGTGTGTGAGCTGTACATACACCTCAGCTGAGCGGAGCTGGGCTCGCGTGCAGCTTAAACAGGATTCATCCTCTAGAGTGTTTTGAGGTTTGTTTTTATTCCTTTTTTGTTTCTATGTAGAGCGGTACGTCCACATGATCCAGACAAGTACCTGCGGCTCTGTCTGCCTTTTGTCTCAGCAGCCACACCTTGGGGGTCCCGGCCATTCACGCGGTTTCTAAGGGGCCCCGTTTCTTCAAGGCAGCAGAATTACCGTTTCCCGCATCATTCGACTCTTCTCTCCGCTTTCTGAGGTGTATGTACAGCTTGCTGCTGTGCCTGTACACCGCAACATCGCCCGAATGCTAGAGCAGCAGACACGGCAGCGCTGTTGAGGATTAACCCTCGGCTGGTGTTGTTTCTCCTAGAATTTATCCTTAGAACACCCGACAACAAACATACCGACTAACAGCAATAATAATAGTGTTAATAACAACAACAACAATACCATCAACAACGACCGCAGCAGCAACGCGTTTTGCGGCGGTGGCGTCTGTCGTCTTCCTTCTTTTTCTCATCCTTTTTAACACAATGGGTTCCCGCCCTCGCGATTAGTAGGCAATTAAATGATTCTTTTCTGCTTAATTTTATTTGTACAATTACACAGCATCTTCCTGCTGTATTTGCAGCAACCAACCCTGTAACAGCAGCGTTTAACTCCTTCTTTATCTTCCTTGCTGTATCGTCATTATACCCGGCATATATTCCTCTTCTGTGGTGCTTTTATCACTTTTGCAGCGATTACCTCTTCAAGTTGGTCCTTATAGGGGACTCAGGTGTAGGAAAGTCTTGTTTGCTGCTCCGCTTCTCTGTACGTTCATTCTCCTCGTATTGCTCTCATTGGGGTTTAGGGTTTAACACCGACTTGCGACGCAAACCCTAAACTCTAAACCGTAAATACCGTTGTCAAACGCATGCATATATAGATAGAGTGTCAGCTGCATTAGCGATGCTGCTCGCTTGATTTGTTCTAAACCCTAATCCGTAAGCCCCCTTTTTTGTGTGCAGGACGATGCCTTTACAGACAGCTATATTACCACCATTGGGGTGGATTTCGTGAGGAATTTAAACCCTTTAAGTATTAAAAGATAGATTTTTAATTTATTTTATTTTCTTTAAGTCCTTTTTAAAGAACTGCATTTGAAGTTGTGCTCCGTTTCGTATGCTGTTGCGGCCTTCTTACTTTTCCCTGATATTTCTCCTTGGCCAAAACAGAATGCATATATATTTGTATAGTTTAATAATAAATAAATAAATAATTTAATCACTAAACGTAAATCTATGTTTTATTCTGCTGCAGAGGTTTCGCACCGTTAATGTCGGCGGCAAAATCGTTAAACTGCAAATAGTGAGAGAAGCGCACAAAATGTCTGTTTGTGTATTTCTTTAAATTTGTTTAGTTCGTGATTTCTTTCTCTTTTTTTTGCACTTTGTTATTGTTTGTTTATCTCTGTCTCTGTTTGGTTTTATTTGCTTTCCCGTAGCCGTGTTTGTGTATTATAATTATCTTTATTATATTTGTTACTGCGTGCATTGTGTTGTGTCTGTTGTGTGCTTGTGCCACGCGTTTGTCCATCTGCATGCATGCTACATGCGTTGCTGCTGCTGCGTTGTTGCTGCTGCTGCTACAGTGGGACACCGCCGGCCAAGAACGTTTCCGCACAATAACAAGCGCTTATTACAGAGGCGCTGACGGCATTGTTTTGGTTTATGATATAACTGAGCAAGACTCCTTTGTACATGTAGACGAATGGCTAGCTGAGGTCAACAGGTGCGCTGCCTCACAACCTCTCCTTGGCTAGTAGCTAGTTGACTAGAGTAGCTAGCTGGGAAAAGGTTCGCTTGGTAGCACGTAGCGGGGTAGTAAGTAGGTAGATGAATAGTAGCCAGGTGGGCCAGGCTAGCTAGGTAGTATTTAGCTGGGTAGTAGTTATGTGGGTAGTAGTTAGATGGGTGGTAGTTTGCTGGGTAGTAGCTATCTAGGTAGTAACTCAGTGCCTGACAAAATCCGCGTGGTGCAGGAATGCATGCGTGGACCTGCTTCTGGCCCTGCTGCTACTGTTACAACTACTGCCGCTGGCGCTGCTGCTGTTGTGTGTAGGTACGCAACTGAGAACACTGTAAAGATTCTGGTAGGAAACAAAAGTGAGAAAGACAGTGACCGCGCCGTGGATGCCGAAGATGCGCGAGTAAGCTGAGGTGACAGTTGAAAGAGAGCATGTATGCATGCATCCGTAATCTGCATTTGTTGCTTTTGCTTGCATGAATCTACATGCATGCATTGGTTATTTGTTTGTTTTGCCTTGGTTGGTTTATGGGCATGCATAGTGATTTGTATCTTGCATGCATGCATGCATGCATGTTAATTTGTCCTTTGTTCTTTTGTTGCATATCCTTACAGTGCATGTATGTATGTATGCATGCATGCATCTTTTATTTGCAGAGGAAGGCAGAGGATTTGGGAATTTCGTTTATTGAGACTTCGGCCAAAGAAGCAATCAATGTCGATTTAGTACATCAATAAAATAAAATAATACCAAATGAGCAAATAGAAAGGAACAAAACAAACAGATAGTGTGATAAGACTAGACAAACAAGTTTTGCGTGCATTACGTCTTTCATAGAGGAAGATATAGCATTTGTGTACATAACAAGCAATAGCGTACATATATATTGCTGTGGTACATAGAGTGGTTGAAGCCTCTTTCACATTGTTGGATTGTACGTAGAGCTCAGCACAGTCTGCTGCTGTTTTTGCTTCATTTTAACCCTTGAAGGTGTTTTGTCTGCATCCATGTTGTTTTTTCTGCAGGCCTTCATAACTGTTGCTCAAGAGCTGATAGCCATCAAGTAGGTTTTCCTTTTTAAAGGCAAATACACCAAAGTGTTGATAAAGACTTAGCGCAAATTTAGGTGTATGTGCATGTGTGTGTGTGTGTGTGTGGGGGGGGGG